TCAGCAATATCACACTAAACTGCTAATCGAAACCTCCAAGCCTAGCTAGTTCGGCTCGCAGTGGCTCGATACACAGTTCCTTGTAGCGCTTCGACAGAGGATAGCAGACTACAAGAAACATTAATGACAGTTCGCCGGCCCAAACGGGCCAAAGGCATGGTGCTAGAATCTCTGGCAAGAGGTGCCGAATCATGCATATTACTAGTTCGCGCGCGCAGAGAGGGGGTCCGCGCAAAGGAAAACTCTAGACAGGTACCCAGAGGACGGGGAGGGCGGCCATGAGATCATGTACCTGGGCAGCCCGAAGGTACTTGAGGACGCTCACCCGGGCAGCCCGAACCGATCTTCAAGTACTTTTCCTGCACAGCCTGAAGGTACCTGAGGACGATTCCCTGGGCAGCTCGAATGCACCTGAGGACAATTCCCTGGGCAGCCCAAAGGTACCTTCGGGCTGGCCAGTGGTGCACCTGGGAGGTTTCTGGGAGGCCCGAAAGGTATTATCCTCCCTTTCTCCCCGTCAGCCGCGAATCGAGAAGCTGGCAAGCAGCCGCCGACATCACCAACGAGGCCTCCAGGACTGGGCCCGCATAGTCACTACCTTGCTCTGGGCCGCCAGATGGCCTGCATCGTGCTTCCTACGTGCCACAAGACCGTCACAAGACTGAGTATCGTTTGACCGATCCCCATCCCCAGCGGCGTGGCCTGGGCCCAACTGGCCGATTTTCCCCCTAGATGGGGATATAGGTAGTCCCATCGGGTTTCGAGGGGTGTATCCCCAACTGGGGTGGTAATTTGGTGGGTGTCTCGAAGGGGATGGGGATGGGGATCGCTTAAGGATAATACTGAAAGACGGCTCCAGGCGGCCGTGGAGCCACTCGGCTGTCCACGTGGTTGGGGCTGCCCCGCGGCTGTGCCCCCGCAGGGCTCCCGGCGGGAGCCTCCCGAGGCCCCGAGGCCCCGAGGCGGCGCCACGATCCTCCAGGATGAGGCCTCGAGGCCCCGAGGCCCCGAGGCCCCGAGGCCCCGAGGCCCCGAGGCGGCTGTGCCCCCGCAGGGCTCCCGAGGCCCCGAGGCGGCTCCACGGTCCTCCGGGACGGCCCCGAGGCCCCGAGGCCCCGGGAGCCTCCCGAGGCCCCGAGGCCCCGAGGCCCCGAGGCGGTTGTGCCCCCGCAGGGCTCCCGAGGCCCCGAGGCGGCTCCACGGTCCTCCGGGACGAGGCCCACGGGGAGCCCGGGTGGGCACCGCCGGGGCCCCGAGAGCGCCCGCACGAAAGCGAGCGCCGCAGGAGCGCCCCGAAGAGCGCCAGGGAGGAGGAGGAGGAGGAGGGAGGGAGGGAGGAGGAGGAGGAGGGAGGAGAGGAGGAGGAGGAGGAGGAGGAGGAGGAGGAGGAGGAGGAGGAGGAGGAGGTGGAGGAGGAGGGAAGGAGGGGAGGGAGGGAGGAGGAGGATGGGAGGGAGGGAGGGGATGGGAGCGGAGGGAGGGGAGGGAGGAGGAGGGAGGGGAGGGAGGAGGAGGAGGAGGGAGGAGGGAGGGGGAGGAGGGAGGGAGGGAGGGAGGGAGGAGGGAGGGAGGGAGGAGGGGAGGGAGGGAGGGAAGGAAAGGGAGGAGGAGAAGGAGGAGGAGGAGGAGGAGGGAGGGAGGAGGAGGGAGGGAGGAGGGAGGGGGGAGGGAGGGAGGGAGGGAGGGGGGAGGAGGAGGAGGGAGGGAGGGAGGAGGAGGAGGAGGAGGAGGAGGAGGAGGAGGAGGAGGAGGAGGAGGAGGAGGAGGAGGAGGAGGAGGAGGGAGGGAGGAGGGAGGGAGGAGGAGGGAGGGAGGAGGAGGGAGGAGAGAGGAGGGAGCAGGAGCCCGGCCCCGCCCCCACGCAGGCAGCAGCGGGGGCGGGGGCGAGGGAAAGGGGTGCCGAGGCTGCTGCTCCCCGGGAGCCCTCTCCCGAGGCGGGCCCTGCCCAGGACGCTCGAGGCGAAGGCGGCGGCGGTGACGAGGGCTCCCCAAGGGAGCCCGAAAGGGCGACGAGGCGGGGGAACGGCAGCGGTATGCCCTCTCTGGCGTCGCCCGCAGGGCCCAGGACCCCTGTCGGGGAGACGTGAGACTCTGGCTCGGGGGACTCGGGTTGGCCTGACAGGGGCCATCATGAAGATATGACGATGGCCCGGTCCGAGTTGACGCGAGCTCCCGCTGCAGACATCCCACGAAAACTGGACCGTCAAAATCCAGGGCGCGCTCGTCAAAAACCGTCGGCAAACCCGAGTTCCCGCTTACTCTTAAGTCGGGCGTGTCCCCCTACAGGGAGATTCTGCACAGAAACCCAAAAATCTGCCCCCCACACAAAAAAAGAAAACAAAAAAAAACAACTCAAAACATACCCCAAAATACTAAAACCAAAAATAGCCCCCTGACCATTTTTGGACAAATTTGTTTGACCAACTTTTGTTCATATTCCCCCTGTGAGTCTTATCGGGTCGGGCGAAAGGGGGGGATAGCAAAGGGGGGGTTGAGAATCAGCTCACGTAGCTGATTTTCCCGGCGCCCCCCGGCGCCGGAGGCAGCTATGTATCGAGGAATGGGCCCCTCGGTGAGGGCGAAACCAGCTGCATGCAGCAAATTTCGTAACCCCCCCTTTCCCAATCCCCCCCTTTCGCCCGGCCCGATCTTACGGTTCCCCGATCCTGCGCTGCTCGCAGGGCCGGGGACCCACGACGACGGGGGCGGCCCGGGCCGCCCTCGCCGTCGGCCACATGGCGCGGCGCCTCCGCGGCAGCAGCGCCGGCGCATGGCGCACTCGGCAGGGCAGCGGCGTCAGGCGCCCCTTCCCCGGCCGAGCGCCGGGCGCGAGGGCGCAGGGCGAAGGCGGCGGCGGCGCGGCCGGGGGCGAGAGCGCAGGGTGATTTCGGGCATGTCCCTCTACAGGAAGAAGATTCGAAAATAGGCAAAAGTCATGGAGACGACGTTTTGATTGATTTGGACTACTTGTTTGAATGTGTTTTGTCTAATTGTTATTTTGCTTCCAAAACCCACCTGTAGGAAAAAATGCCGGACCTAAGCGCAGGGCACAGGGCGCAGGGCGAAGGTAGAGGAAGGAAAAACGGCACAAGCATAAACATTCGGCGGACCGCGCGGATTGTTCGGATCTGCGCTGGGCCCCCTCCCTGGCGCGCGGAGCGCGCCGGGGGCGGAGCTGGAGGCGGCGCCAGGGGGCGCCGCCAGGGGGCTCCAGCGCGGATCCAAGAAGTCCGCGCGGACCGTGGAAAGGTTCTGCTGATGCCGCTGCTGCTGCTGCTTCGAGCAGGACGAAGCGGCGCCCGTGTCGGCAGCGGGGGAGGAGGAGGAGGAGGAGGAGGAGGAGGAGGAGGAGGAGGAGGAGGAGGAGGAGGAGGAGGAGGAGGAGAGCCGTCTTTTCTCAGGCAGTTGCTTGAGGGACGGCTTTCTCCTCGCACCTGCGAATAATTTCCCCCCCCCCCGCGCGCCATGGTGGTCGCTGCTCGACTTGAATGGATTTTGCGACAGTCCGCTTTCGGACGGAACGTCCACTTCTCCGTAAGCCGCGCCTGGGACTCAGATAAGGCCAAGCTCAAGTTTGTCGTCACCCCTGCCACTGCGTCCAAGGCGGGGGCCGTGCAGACTGCTGCGATACAGGCGATTGTGAATGCCATCCTCGAGGAGCTCCCGACCTTTTCAGCTGTGGACCGCGGGCATCTCCACAGCGACGGCACCTCTGTTGTTCAGGTGTGGCTGGCACCGATTCGCCCTGTTGCCGGAGGCCCCACTGTTAGTCACGTGCTTCCAGGCCCTCTTCAAGATACTCGCGCAGGTGGCAGCGGGGACAAGGAGTGGGTGGAGGAGAAGCCTTGGAGGAGGAGCACGGGGAGGAGGCCTACACCCTGCCCTTCCGGAGCTCCCTTCTCGACACCCTCGGCTGCCGGTTCTGCTGCTGTGATTCCTGAGCTCATGAGGGAGTCCGCGACTCCGGCGCAAGTGTCCAGCACTCTCCGACCTGATGCTCCTATCTTCAGCCCTGCTCCGGAGCACAGTCAGGCTCTGATCGCTCTCCCATCTGCGAGGATTGAAGCAACTCTGGAGTTATTTAAGCACGAGTGTGTAGCGAAGGCTGAGCAGCAACAGTGCGAGGCCACAGTGTCATTCGTGGAGCTCTTCAGGCGCTCAGCCGCTGACGGGCTGCAGATTTCCATACCATCAGTTAGTGTTCTCCATGAAGCGCTCTTCATGTTTGTTCGCAAAATTCAAGATCTTGGGTTCCTCTCCGTGCATCACCATGCTGGCACCTGGGACGTCACGGTCACCTGGGAGGATCCAGGGCAATTGAGCACTTAGTGCAGCGGGAAACCTAGGCTCATCAGTGAGGCGGCATGTCATTGCACAGCAGGTTTCATCCTGTTTGATGTCCACGTGAGCAGTGTGAGCGTGCACCATATCTCAGTGTCGCATTTCGCATTTTGCAGTGTGTACCATGTCAGCCAGACACAATTCGAGAGGAAGCCGTTCGACACATGCTTGAAGTTTCTGCGCACACACTGGCCAGGTAGCTGTGTAGATTGGTTGGCATCGGCAGCTGGTCGCGGCTCGTTAATCCTCTGTCTGGCCCCCGCTCGGCCCTGGTGGGCCCAGCGCTTTGTCTTGGGCACCCTGGGCCCACGCTCCCCCCCTGCGGGCCCTCCTCCTCTTCTTCTCTCTTCCTCCCCTGCGTCCCCCCTTCTTGGGGGGGTGCGTGGGCTTTCGGCTGCCCTCTCTGCGCGGCTCGTGGTCTGGGGGGTCCTCGTCGCCGCCGTCTCCATCCCGCTGAATCTCGCCATCTTCCTAGTTTGGGCTTCGACGTTCCGCCCTAAGGAGAAGAAGAAGAAGAAGAAGAAGAGGAGGAGGAGGAGGAGGAGGAGGAGGAGGAGGAGGAGTGGGAGAGGAGGAGGAGGAGGAGGCGAGAGGAGGCGGAGGAGGCGGAGAGAGGAGGGGAGGCGGAGGAGGGGGCGAGGGCGGCGGCGGGCGGGCGCCTCGCCCTCCCGCAGCTCGCCCCCGGCGGCCCCGCGCGCGGCTCGGCGGCCTCCGCAGCCGCCGCCGGCAGCGCGGCGACGAGGCGCGCGGCGGCTCGGCGCCGCGCGTGCCTCCGCAGCCGCCGCGGCAGCGCGGCGAGAGGCCGCGGGCGGCCCTCGGCGGCGCCGCTGCAGGGGCGATTGGCCGGCCGCACTTCCTGCGCCGAGGGGGGGCCTCCTCCTCCTCCTCTCCTCCTCCTCCTCCTCGTCTTTCCTCCTCCTCCTCCTCCCCTCCCATCACTCGTCCTCCTCCTCCTCCTCCTCCTCCTCCTCCTCCTCCTCCTGGGCTACGAAGCAGGGAGCAGAGAGATAGTGGGGGGGGACTACCACAGGGGGCGATGCATCGACCTGGAATCGGCGAGACGTCGCCGATAGATCGGCGATAGGCCCCCGAAAGTGGATCCACACCTGGCTGTGCAGGTCGGGGCCATCGGGCCCCTGTCGGCGATCAGTGGGCGATTCGGGGGTCGATGAATCCCCCCCTACGCTTGTGGATGCCACGACGATGGACACCCTAACAGTCCTATCGCTGAATTTTAAATGTGCTTGAAATGCAAGGGCAATGTCCTAAACATGCTTTGAACACGTTTGAAACATGTCAGAGACATGTTTAAGACATGTCTGAGACACATCTGGATTCTTTGTTGGCAACAGGCTTCCTCTCCACTGATCGTCCTCCACAGCCCTGCGCCCGTCCCGCCCTGTCGCCGCCCCCGAGCGGAGCGCAGGCAGCAGGGACACGCCGCCCGGGGGACGCTCGGGCCGGGCGAAAGGGGGGGATCGCAAAGCGGGGGGGTGAGAATCAGCTCACGTAGCTGATTTTCCCGGCGCCTCCCTGCGCCGGGAGGCGCCCATGTATATATCGAGGAATGGGCCCCGCGGCGGGGCCGAAGCCAGCTGCAGACAGCAGACTTCGTAACGCCCCCTTTCCCTATGATCCCCCCCTTTCGTTCGGCCCGGGCCGGGGGCCGGCGCGCCCACTGCCCAGAGAGAGGCGGCCTCGCCGGCGGCTCTCCGGGCCCCGGGGCGCGCCAGGGGGCCGGGCAGGGCGGCAGGCGGCAGGGAGGGCGCCAAGGCGGAGGCCCGCCCCCGGGAGCGGGAGGCGGGCTCGCAGCAGCTGCCCCCCCCCTGCTCGGGCCCGGCGAAAGGGGGGGATAGCGAAGGGGATGGTTTTTGGCAACACGCCTCCTCTCCACTGATCGTCCTCCACAGCCCTGCGCCCATCCCGCCCTGCCGCCGCCAGAGATCGAGGCCTCCCCATTCCTTCGGCCCGCCCTGCGCCCGCCAGGTCGAGGCCTCCCCCGGCCGCTCCAGCGCGCCGTGGCCGGGAAGGCGCGGGCGGGTGCGCTCCGGCATGCGGGGGAGTGCTATAGGGGTGCCCCTGGCCCAGGGTGCCCCCAGCCGTTCGCTCCCTTTATGGGGCCCGCTGGGCCACCTGGGCCTCGTGAGAGGTCTTCCGGAGGCCGCGGGGGCCTCCTTGGAGATCCTGGGGGCACCTCGGGCCAGGGGCAGTTCTGGCAGCCCCCGAGTCCTGGGAGCCGCGAGGCCCTGGGTGCTGCCAGAGGTGTCCCTGGCCCAGGGTGCCCTGCAGGACCTCCAGTGGAGGCCTCCGCGGGCCTCCAGAGCACCACCCCCTCACGAGGCCCGTGAGGGCCCCAGGTCGGAAACTGGAGCACATACATTACCAGTGGCGGACTGTTCTTCAATCCCAGGATTTTTGTAGGGTTGAAGACGACGTCGGGGTGGTGTGGTGTATACTTGTTTCCACGCTTTCCCGTGGAAACAACGAAAAATGTATACACCAGGATGCCGTATACACTATAATCCGTTTTTCTGTGCGAGTTTCAGTGCAGGGCCCGAAAAAGCGTCGGTGTATTGAGTTCGGTTCCCTACCAGGGGCTCCAGAGTGGAGCGCGAAAAGCTTTTGGGGCACCTCGGGCCAGGGACACCTTCTCACTGCACAGGCCTTGCAGACGTGCTGCAGCGGATTTTTGCGTGGGCGAGTGAAAAACGGAGTGAATTTCGCGTAAGTTTGTTTTAGTCTTCGTTCCTGCCCCCCCCCCCCAAAAAAAAAACGCACGAAATTCACCTCGAAATCCGGAGCGAAATTCTCCAGGACACTCTGGGCCCATCCGATCGTCTTCCGAACGAGATCCGCTCTGCGATGTTGGCGCCATGAACCTTTGGCAACCGCCGAAGGGAGGGCCAGTGGGGGGGGGGACGAGAGGAGGGTGAGAGAGGGAATCACCAGCAATTCGGTGCAATCCCGAAGGAGGGGCCGGATCCCCGGCAAGGTGCCGGCAAGACCGCAGCAGTCGTAGTCGTGCAGTGTGGCTCGTGGCCGCCCGAGAGGCCTCCTCGGCCAGGGAGGCCTCTCGGGCCTTCCGAGCAGCCGCTTGAGCATCCCGAGGGGCTCCTGGGCCTCCTCTTGAGGTCTTTGGGGCCTCCCGACCGTCGATGTGTAATCCTCGCCCTTGGATCCTAGATGCTCGGACATCAACATTGAATCCTCGATCCTGGGTCATCGCCATTCGGTCCTGGATCCGCGATATGCGCTCGCCGATCATCGAACCTCGTTCTTCCATCCTCGACCGTCGACGCTCGAAAATCTAGATTCGACCCTCAATCCTGAATCGGCGCCCCTCGATCCTGGGTTCGCGATCCTCCATGCTCGCTCGTCGATCCTAGATCGTCGACGCTCGCACCTCGATATTCGAACCTTCAGCTTTGATTATCTGTCCTCGGAACTGGATCCTCGATCTTGCAACGGTCGACCTTTCCCTCCATCCAATTCCTCCTTCCCCTAGGTTCACAATGCTCGATCGTAGATCATCGACCCTCGCTTCTGCGTCCTCGATCTTTGAACACCCTCGATCCCTGGCACCCGATCCTCGATCCTCGAGGGTATTCGGCCCCCGCTCCAAGACTGATCCCTTCTTTTTCTTCGTTCGAGGCAGAAGCGAGGATGGGGCCCTCCCTACCGCGGACCGCAGGCTTGGCTACCTGTCGGCTGCCCCGGCCGTCGCCGGGCACTGGGCACTCTGCGGACGCAGGAGAAGGGGGACGGGGAGGAGCAGGAGAACGGGGAGAAGGAAGTGGACAATGTAGACGACTTCGATCGTCGATGCTCGAACTTCGACCGCGGATCCTCGGTTCGATCTTTGACTCTCGCTCCTTTTTCTCCGATTATTCATATTCGTTCGCTGATCCTCCGACCTCAATTTTCGATGTTCGACAATCGAGGCTCGATGTTCGATCCTCTGAATCTCAAGCCTCGAACCTGGATCCTCGATCATCCGACGTCTTGGCCTCTTTCGCCTTCAGTGGGGTACTCTCGTGGCCGCGGCTGGACGCGGCTCGACAAAAAGGGTCAGGGTGGACGTGTCCGCGCAGCCTCGACGCGCCAGGGTGCAGGGCGCCAGCGGGTGGTCGGACACGGTTACAGCACAGGTGGACCGCAAAGCAAGGCTAGGCCATGGAGGCGGGAGTACCAGGCCAGAGGACTCACTGAGTGCCAGGCTTCGCATCGCGAGAACTGGAAGAAGCAGGACGTTTGTCCTCACATAAACGCACCCTGATGTCTGGGAATGTGCCGACACTGCGTACAACAGTCACGAGGGGGACACAGGCAAGCGACCTGGAGTAACACGTACAGTACCACATGCACCCCCATATACAATCAGATACAGGCGCATTGCGCGACAGACCAAAACATGTGGCATATAGCAGATGGAGAATCGTCTTCCTTGGAAATGAGCATGATGATGGCCCGGAATGTAAACGAATACACAATAAGCCCGATACAAGACATGTGAACCAAAACGTTTGAGATGCGTAGGGCACGTGGGACAATATGTCAACTATGGGATACTTAACACAGAAGCGAACAACATAAAAATACTATAAAGAAAACATCACGATGAAATGCGCACTGTTTTGAAATACTGGCTATGAGTCAAGCGTTTGTGTCATACCAAGATAAAGCGGGCACAGAAAGCGGCCGCCTTCCGTATCCCCGAACAGAAACAGTGGCGGACAACGGAAACCGTTAAGAGTGGAAGAGTGCGGTAGGTACCGTTCGAATTTGGTGTTCAAACGAGTCTGCATGTGCCTCGCCCATCCGAGCAAACAACTGTACCCGAACCAAACGAAACAAAACGGAGCTAAGCTGAGAGGACATTGTGCTGACCATGCCACTCCTGAGAAAATGCGAAGATGCCCCGAAGCATACTACTGGGCGGAGCAAGCCCTCATCCACTGGCACGCTGAACGTCCTGTCATCCGCTGCCGCACCAAAGAAGTTAGTGCCGGTTGCCTTTCACTTGCACGCTTCGTCCTGTATACTAGTTACTCCCTGGCGATCTGCCACTGGGACGTCGCATTCGCGAACGTAGCCCGTGAGATGCGAGCGTCGGATGATTCAATCATTCGGGTCGCACTTCTCCTTGATGGTGAAACTGCAATGTTGGGAGGTCGGGGCGGACTTTTTGCGTCGTCTTTCGCTCAACTTAAAAAATGTTGTGGTCGTAGCTGACGTTGCCGCCCACAATGCTTAATTTGAGCCCTCGGACGATACTCCCCTTCGTCATGGGGTCGGCTGTCATTTCTCCGGTGTCGCACCACAGGATGTCGTCGATTTGTTTGGTGCGGAGTTGGTATGACAGCCACCAAATGGCCGGCCATGCTGCGCTCTGATGGACGTCGAACAAGACCCGTGGCCAAAGCCGAGAACGTGGACATGCCATCGACCACCAGCTCGGCCGGCACAGCGTAACCTCCTTCCTCCCTCAGCCTCCTGACCTCCTCAGCTGAAGCAGATTCACATACCATCTCGAGGAGCGTCAGGAGGTGCACTCGTCGGCCTTCAATTGCGCCGCAGTCTGCGAGGAGGTCTGGGCCAAAATATGATCGGCACACGAATTTGTGCGATCGGCTCACGGTTTCGAGTAATTGGCAGACTTGCTTACCAGTGCTGCGACACTTGCCC